GAGGCCCCGGCGTGGGGAGGGACCCTGGGCTGGGACTGCCTGCCCCCAAGAGTTCCTGAAGAGCTGGCCGAGGCACCATGGCCCCTCCTGGGGCGTTTCCTGGCACCCGGGGAGGTGCCCAGGGTCAGAGGGAAGCCAGGGGCAATAAATGGGGCACAGGCCTGTGAGTCTGACCTACCCCTGCGTGGTCACGGGGCAGCCGACACGGCCTCCCTTCTCCTCCCGCACAGCCAGGCCATGGGGATCCAGACACCCCCGGGGATGGGCCCAGGGTCAGAGGGAAGCCAGGGGCAATAAATGGGGCACAGGCCTGTGAGTCTGACCTACCCCTGCGTGGTCACGGGGCAGCCGACACGGCCTCCCTTCTCCTCCCGCACAGCCAGGCCATGGGGATCCAGACAACTTCCTGTCCGGGGCAAGGCCTCTGGACTTGAAACCCGCTCTATAGACTGAGGCATAACTGCCCTCCAGCCTGATGCTGTGACCACGGGGCAACTCCTGGACAAGCCTCTCTCTGGTAGCTGAGCCCTCACTGAGCGGAAGGAGACAGGCAGGGAAGGAGGCTGACGAACACGGTCGCCCTGCCCAGGCGTAAGAGACGCCCCAGAGAATGGGAAAGCAGCCCAAATGTAACGGGGACGTAGTCACTGTGTGGTCATGGCCGTGGTGCTTCTCTCAACCAAGAGGCCCTGTATCCCAGCCCATTGAGAGTGTGGGGGAGGGGGAAAGGTGGGGACTCTGTCCTGGAGATGAGGGCTACACGTTAACCCCAGAATAGGAAATGGGCTCCTTCCATGCACATGGACCACTGTGGAGAAATCCCTGTGATATTCTACTTTGTATTAAGAGCTTGTCCTTCTAGATATATCTTTAAGTGTTCTTATAGGATCTCTGTAACATTTCTCCTATAACTTTGTATTAAGATATATAGATCTTGTAAGAAAAAATGTCTTTTGAGCTCTCCCCTTTCCTTGACTGCCCTGTTGAAATGAATGAGGTGTGAATGGAGGATTTGATACGGTCTCGCATGATATTCTTATTGATAAACTAGGCAAATATAACTTAGATAGGGCCACGATAAGGTGGGTGCATAATTGGCTGGATAACTGTAGTCAGAGAGTTGTTGTTAACGGTGCTAAATCCTGCTGGAAAGGGATAACAAGTGGAGTTCCTCAAGGGTCTGTTTTGGGACCCGTACTGTTCAATATCTTCATCAATGATATAGATATTGGGATAGAGAGAACGCTTATTAAGTTTGCAGATGATACCAAACTGGGTGGGATTGCAACTTCTTTGGAGGATAGGGACATAATTCAAAATGACCTTAGCAAGTTAGAGAAATGGTCAGAGGTAAACAGGATGAAGATTAATAAAGAGAAATACAAAGTGCTCCACTTAGGAAGGACCAATCAGTTCCATACATACAAGATGGGAAGCGACTATCTAAGAAGGAGCATAGCGGAAAGGGATCTAGGGGTCATTGTGGACCACAAGTTGAATATGAGTCAACAGTGTGATGCTGTTGCAAAAAAAGCAAATATGATTCTAGGTTGTATCAACAGGTGTGTTGTAAGCAAAACTCGTGAAGTCATTCTGCCGCTCTACTCTGCACTAGTTAGGCCTCAGCTGGAGTACTGTGTCCAGTTCTGGGCGCCACATTTCAAGAAAGATGTGGAGAAATTGGAAAGGGTACAGAGAAGAGCAACAAGAATAATTAAAGGTTTAGAGAACATGACCTATGAAGCCAGGCTTCATGAACTGGGCTTGTTTAGTTTGGAAAAAAGAAGATTAAGGGGGGACATGATAGCGGTTTTCAAATATCTAAAAGGGTGTCACAAGGAGGAAGGAGAAAATTTGTTCCTCTTGGTTTCTGAGGACAGGACAAGGAGTAATGGGCTTAAAGTGCAGCAGGGGAGGTTTAGATTGGACATTAGGAAAAAATTCCTAACTGTCAGGGTGGTCAAATATTGGAATAAATTGCCAAGGGAGGTGGTGGAATCTCCCTCTCTGGAGATATTTAAGAACAGGTTAGATAGACATCTGTCAGGGATGGTGTAGACAGAGCTTGGTCCTGCCTTGAAGGCAGGGGGCTGGACTCGATGACCTCTCGAGGTCCCTTCCAGTCCTATTATTCTATGATTCTATGAAAAGATTAATTACCAATATCAGACCTCAAAGATGTCGCCCTCCACCTTCTGTGGTGACCCAACCCATAGCCTCCAATAAGCCTTGGGAGTCAAGCAGCAAGTGCCTGCCCTTGGAAGAACTCTCTTTGAAGCAGCATTACGAAAGGCCAGTTGATGACTAATTGGCTGCATGAGAGGGATAAATAGGAGGCATCTTGCAGAGGGACCCTGGGTTTTTGTCTTGTCAATATGGGAGCATCGATCTGGATCGGCAGAAGCCCGGCTCCACCCCCTCCCCCATCTAACTCACCTGGCCAGTGCAGTTAGGGGGAGCAACTTTTGGTAACAACAAGATGGAGTGTGCTTGTGTGTGTGTGTGAGTGCATGAGTGTGATGTATCATATGCATATGATAAGTATTGATTATTCTATGTGTGATCAATAAATGTGGCATGTTGCCTTATCCCTCTGAAAAAGATCCCGAGTACTTTTTTAAGTACAACACCAGGTGTTGAGACGTAATTCCAGAGGGGACCCGCCAATGTGATGAGGAAAAAAAAGTTTGAAAACCACTGGCCTGGAGACCCCAGTAAGGGCGGTGCCTGAGCTTTGTTCAGTTGCCAGTGGCACTGGATTTAGATTCTCTTGGTAGCAAGGCTGGGAGGGGCTCCAACGCCTTCGGAGAGAGAAACACCCCTCTAGCAAAGCGTTCTTCAGCACCAGGGGCAGGCACATCCAGCAGCTAGCAAAGGCCCGGCCCCAGAGGTGGGGTACTCTCCCTCCCCTCCGTCAGCCTCAGGGCCTGGCCCATGCGTTCAGTTCCCCCGCTGCCGAGGGCTCTCCAGCTCCCAGATAGGGAACAGGCATCGTTCCCTCTCAGCTCCGGGAAGCCCCACAAAGGCCCCAGCTTTGCGGAGCTCCATGGTTGCACGCTGCTTGGGGCAAATCCAGCCTGCCTGCTGCAGAGGCCAGCGCAGGGACGCCAGAGGCTCAGCTCAGACCTGGCTCACGCAGTGGCCTGGAGGGGGGCGTGGTGCCCTGCCCCCTAGAAATTAATGAGTCTGCAACAGCCTTAGCTTTTAGCTCGTGCAGTAGAGCAGGCATGGGGAATGTTTTTTGGGTTGGGGGGAGGGATAGTACCCCACCTCTGACCCACAGAAAAATCCATCGAGGGCTGCACATAAGTGAGAAGCAAAGAAAAAACCCAAACCACTCACTGATGTGGCCCCCAGGGCACCAGAGCCGGGGGGGTCCAGCCTAGTAGATTTTGTGTGCTGCAGTGGGGTAGCGGGGTGATTGGAGCACCAGTGTGGGCCCCCCAATGCTAAAGGCCAGCCCCCCTAATGCTGGACTAGATCCAGGCAAGCCGGGGGCTGCATAGGGCCCCCCCAGGCCTGAGGTTCCCCACCCCTGCAGTAGAGGCTCCTACATTAAGTGTCAGAGGACCCCAGTTCCAAGCCGCCTGCCCACGGCTGAGGTCTGTTGCCATTCCGCTAGCTGGCTGGTGGTGGCAGGGTCGTAGTGACACAGAACCCGCGCTGGCATGATGCAATGGCCTGGTGCTGGGGTTCATCACTCATCTGCAAGTAACAAGCCTGTAATTAATCACATGTCACAAAACCAAAGGCAGCCAGAGCAGAAGACGGGTGCTGCTTTGCCGGATTGAAACCCTAGGCTTTCCAGCCAACTGCGGCTGGAACCAGGGTTCCCTGTAAGCTGAGCACTTGTGCGCCCACTCAGGAGATCATCAAATGCTGCCCAGCTGATTAGCAGAGCATCCACAGCCTTTTGTCTGTTGTTGCTACTGGTGGTGCACATTCACGCATGCCTGAGTGCACATAGAAAAATTTATTCTGTGCATGGATGGCAAAAATCCAGACATGGATAGCAACAATTAGGGGGAACATTAGTTGGAACTGGCCAACTCCCTCTGCCTTCAGTTCATGTTGGGCTTCTTAGCAGCCCTCCGAGCAGAGAGGCTCTTCCTGGCCAGTGTTGGCTCCGGGCTGGGCGGGAAGAGGGACTTTTGCCCATTCCCTCCCTGCTCCTACCCTCTGTCCTGGACCCTGCCCAGCAGAATCTCGTTGATATAGCTCAGCGTTTGGTTGCTGAAAACCATGTTGAGATGGTCCACGCCGGGCAGCTCCAGGACATGCACTGGCTGCTTCTGCTGGTTCTGCCAGCGGGCGCACAGCTTCATGCTGCGTGTGCTTACCGTGTCGTCCCCATCCCCGTAGATTATGTCCACGGGGTCCTCGAAGGGGAAGTGCTCATCATAGATGTAGGTCTCCGCAGTCGGGAGGCCCGTGCCGTAGAGGCAGTGGGTCTCCACGCCAGGCGGAGGCAGCCCCTTGAGCAGGTCCTTAGTGTCGCTCCACATGTACCAGCCGTCCTCAAAGCTGACGTCGAGGAAGAAGCGCTGGTAGTCCCGGTAGGTGTAGTTGTAGGACGGCGTGGAGATGAAGACGTGCGTTTCGGGCCAGGCCAGGCTGGTGGGGAACATCCAGGGGCTGGTGGTGGCCATGCGCTGTTCCTCCCGCAGCTTGATGTGGGAGACCAGAGGGATGCCCTGGTTATCGCCTGCAATTCACACAGAGACTCAGCAGGAGCAAAACAGACAGACACCCCAAGGGTCCCAAAGCAGCCGGCGTGTGCCCAGATCGCCCGGTGCTGACATGCAGCCACCTCTGGGGGGAGGCAAGGCTGCAGCTCAACAGACGCACTGTAATTCAGGGCAGGAGGCCCAGAGAAGTACTGGGGTACAACTGCAATTTATTGGCTAATCTAAAGGATGGAATTCCCAGGAACACATGTCTCCGAGCACGGTGGGGTCAAAGAGCGCCCCCTAAAGAGTGCCTGCTCTGGTGCACCACTCTGGGGCTCCTTCCGAGCTTGGCCCTGCTCCTGGGAGCCCAGCCAGAGGTGGGGAAGCGGAGGCAGGCTTTTGTGCTGGGGGAGTTTGTCCGCGGGTGCTGCTGGGTGTCCGGCAGGAGGGGAAGGATCCCAAGCCTGCGGTAGGTTTTCTGAGCTGGCTCCACGCGCATGTGTATGTAGGGGGGCTCTCCCGGGTTTATTGCCAGTCTTGCCATATTTGGGGTGGTTTGGAAAGACATGGGTCACGGGGCCCTGTGATTATTCCAGCATCCTGGAACCCAGCGTAAGTCGCTGCCGCTCGTGGCTCTGGAGAAAGGCAGGCAAACATGGCTCTTACACAGTCGTAAAAGGTTCAGATGCCAGAAGGCAAAGGAAAAGCACCCCCGACGGATGTTTTCAAAAGCGCATGGTGTTTAAGCTCCTCTCATGACTCTCTGAGGTTGGCCACGCCAGGTAAAGGTTCGGGGGTGGCTCTGAAGGATGGAGAGAGGAGTAGGAAGTGGGTGCTGTGTCTCGGGGTGTTTCTGAGCTTGTGGGGCTAGGGATGGGGGAGGACTAGAGTGGGGTGGTGTAGTGTGTGGAAACAGCTCAGAGATCCTCCCAGTCTTCTACAGCACAAGTCATCAAGCCCCTGCCGGTGCAGCCAGGGGTACGGGAGCTATCGCCGTGCAGTTAGGTCTTTGCGTCCTTGCTGTATCCATGGATTTCATCGTCATCAGAATGGGGCTTCTGAAGGAGCATGGCACACAGGCTGGGCAGGAGGGATAGCTCAGTGGTTTGAGCATTGGCCTGCTAAACCCAGGGTTGTGAGTTCAATCCTTGTGGAGGCCGTTTAGGGATTTGGGGCAAAAATTCATCAGGGATGGTATTTGGTCCTGCTGTGAAGGCAGGGGACTGGACTCTATGACCTTTCAAGGTCCCTTCCAGTTCTAGGAGCTAGGCAATCTCCATTTAAAAAAAAAAAAAAAAAAAAAAACCTGCTGCACACACAAACCCCAGCCCTGGAGAGGAGAATGGAGCCAGGTGAGAGAGGGCTGGCCAAAACCCTCCTGACACAATGTGTTCTTTCGCTGGGAAATGTTGATTCCTTCAAATGGGGAATCTTTGCAGGCTGTGGCAAGGCTTTCATCAGGAGGGGCCTCAGCTCACGGCATTGCTGCTGGGAGACACCGCCCCCCGGAGCATCCGGGCCACCAGCGAGGGGTGCACCTGGAGATGGAGGAGACCCAGCCTGCCCTGATGCCAGGTTAGGGAGTCAGTTGCTCCGGCCCAGGGATGACTTATACAAAGTGAAACAGCTTCAGCCTGAGACACCCCCCCCCAGCATAGCCCCTGACTTGCCGATTCGGGCTCGCAGCTAGGAGAAGGGAGAGCTTGGTCCAGGTGTCCCTGAATCTGGCTGAGCAGGGTCAATGATGCTGAGTCTCCTGCATCCCAGGGCATGCCCTGACCACCTGGCAAAGGCCTATGGGGGGGTTGTTTCCCGGAGCTCTAGGAGTGACCTGGGGGCCGTGTGTATGGTGAGCGACGGTGCGAGTCTTGTGACTGCCGTGCCTTTCCTAGGGCTGCCCCTGCCACGCTGAGCAGTCTGCAGCCCCGACCCCCCAGCCCCGCGCGGCGGAGTCACCCCCCATTTCTCCGGCAGAGGAAGGCAGACCCACCCGAGGCCAGGACGCGCATGCACTTGGCGGCGCCGCCCCAGGGGGCCCCCAGGGAGATGAAGCCCGCGATGTAGCGGTCCTTCCAGGCCTGGGGCTGCTGCAGCAGGAAGTAGAGGGTGTGGAGGTTGCCCAGGCTGTGCCCCAGCAGGAAGACCCCTCTCTGGTAGGTGTCGTGCATCTCCTCAATCAGCGCCTTCAGGTTGTGGAAATACTCCTGCTGCTGGTCTGCGGGGAGAGCGGCATGGCGCACGGGCCGGGCAGGCTCCCCAGCCCTGGACCCTCCCGGGGAGGGGCAGAAGAGGGTGTTCACGGGGGGGGGTCATCCAGGCCCTCCCATGAGGTCACTCCTCACAGGGGTCCCCCAATCTCATGAGAGGCAGGAGTCTGCCCCCCAGTCACATCTAGGCCAGCAGGGCCCCCTCTGCCCTAAGGGCGTCTCTTTCAGGCTTGCCCGCCCTTATCCCCATCAGGCATGGGCAAAGGGTGAAGGCCCAACTGGGGAAGGCAAGCTGAAGCCCCGCCCCTTCCCCCCAAAACCACACCCCTTCCCTGAGACCACGCCCTTTCAACAACCTTCCCCCCAGCCAAGCCCCCCCCCAGCCCTCACGCC